CAGTTCTAAATTTTCCTTTAAACTGTGGTGCACAAGAAATCAAAATTCTTTAACCACAAAACGTAGTGTGTTTCCTAATTATAGCCAATCAATACTCTGTTAATACTTTGTATTTCCTAAGATTATTTTCCGCAACATCTAAAATGTAAATAAATATCTAATTAGAACATGGACTTTTTTATTACAGCCAGCTAAAACAAAATTTAAAAGAGAACAGCTAAGTATTTAAAAAGGTAACTTGTAAAAGGACACAAGGAAAAGCAGATAAAATTAGACTGTTTGGCTCTAGCTATAGAGTTTGCAAAGGCATTATGAGCTAAAATTCTATGGTTTAACAAACAATTCCCTGTTGTTCTAAAGAAACAGAGCTGTCATTCCTTGGGTAGTGATTGCAATTCATTATGTCACCTAAGTGACTATTCTGTGAGTCCAAAACGTATGTCAGTAGACTACTTCATTGTAGAAAGCCGACATGCAAACCTAATCTTCCTCTCATTCAACATCAATCTTTAAAGGAGGTCAATGAATAGCAATCAGAACTAGGAAATATTGTTATTTTTCCCCTCTTTAGTCTAGGAACACTGAGGTCAATTGTAGTGCCTTTATATTCTGTGGTGTAATTGTAGTATCCAGAGTCCAGTGATTAAATGTAGGATATGGTTCAGTCACAGGTATTGGCTTTACAAACTAAGCCATAGATACTTGTAACTAAACTTTACCAACGAAACATATATAGATTTACAAGAATAGGTTGTTTATCTTGAAAGTAATAGTCTTCATTTTTATTTTAACAGGGTTCTTGGAAGTGTTTCCCAGTTTGATGAATTTGGAAGGGTATTTCATTGTCCTAAAGGAGCTCCAATGAATCCAGTTGAAAAGTGTTCAGTGTGGTGATTTCAAATTCAAATTTAAATATATATAGCTATTTTAATTTTCTTTAATGTTTGATAAAATGTGGCCAGTTCTTTTTATCTCAATTGCATTTTTATTTTCATAAATGAATGTAGCTGAATTCTTCTGACTGTTTTCAGAGCAGCAAAATGTCACTACTTTAACGATGCACATAAAATTCACATCTTTGCACAAGAGATTTGAATAAGAACCTCTTTTCACTATGCCTCATGTTACCCGTCCTAAACTACTTTAGGTAATAAATGTTCCATGATTGAGCTGTACTTCATGTTACCTTTGTGTTTCAATGTATGCCAGTTGTTAAAAATCAAGCAAGATGTTTTAGACTGGTCGAATATTTGTGCACTTTATTAAAAGCTTAACAAAAACTTATGTCTTGCAAATAAAAATGTGTCGTATAAAGAAGCAATTGAGTTTCTTTTTTCTTTAAGTCTGTAGCAGAAAGTGAGATAAATATGCACCAAATTGCTTGAGCTTTTTAAGTATGTGATATCCATTAAATGAAAGTTATTCAGGGTACAACCTTTGTGTCAAAATTGAAAATACAACTAGTTAATGTTTATATTTAGTGTCATTGAAAACTAACATGTTATCTTGTTAAATGTTAATGGCTGTAGGTATCAAGTATTCTGTTATTTGATGCTATCAAACAGCTGTCTTTTGTAAAAGTGTTTACTGATTTTACATTTACACTTTCCTTTAAAGTTACAACATGCAGACTCTAAATAATGTAAGAAAGTTGTAGTACACTGATATCGTGAGGAAGCAGATGAATCCTAACACCTTCCTTTAATGCTTTACTAAGGAGTCATCTGAGTTTTTCCCCTCAGTCTTGATCTTGTGATGAAATAAACATGACTTGGCGCACCAAACTGTCTTGCTTTCAAACCAATTTAGATCAAAAATGTTTTAATTTATTCCCCTAGCTTAACCCTGCTGTGTCTGTGAATATTTTTCAAACAGAAAGTCACGTGTTGAATGCTATTTGTTGATTATAAATCACAAGTCAAATTTAAAATTGGGTACATAAACACTTAATAGGCATGCATAAATATAACAAAAGTTACCAAACATTGAGTTGAAAATCATTAAACAGCATAGTTATGTGACAAAATAAGAAGCCACTTATTCAATGTATCATTTTAAGTTAACACTAGCAGTGATCAGAGTCTGTATTTATACGTTGATGAGATCATTTTAAGAGTAATTCCTAAGGTAGCTGAGAAACTTAACAGCTTTGAATAACCAGACTGTCACATAGCCCAACTATGCATATGTGCTGACCAACATTCAGAAGTGACACAACCTCAATCTTAGGATCGGTGTATTTGAATTAAACACCTTTCTTTCCTGGGATATGGTCATTAGTTTTTGGAGGATTGATTCCATGATCACATTTCATTGCATGGGGTTTTTCTGGGAGGGGAAAACTGAGTTTGAGAGATAATGCTTAAGAAGCCTTGCCAAGTTTCTAAATAACATCCTATAGTTTGCATAAATAGTATATAAAGGAAGTTGATATTTTGGCTAGGAATGAAGTATTAATCATTGTTTTGTTCTAGAGATGGTGTTGAACTTTGTCAGTGTTGATGCAGATGCACCCATCCAAATGGGAGACCATTCCATCACACCCCTGATTTTGTCCTTTAAGTGGTGGAAAGTCTTTAAGAGCTAAGCCACTTAGCAAAAAATACCCAGCCTCTAACGCATGCTACACGCATGACCGTTATGCTATTTGTCCAGTAGAGTTTCTTAATATTCAAGAGTGGGGTTATAAGGAATCTGCATGAGAGTTTTATCAATAGTAGATGATAAGAGTATTAAGATTTGAGCAGAGTGGAACAATGTCCTTTGCAAGGAAGATAATGTAGGATAGCTTATATAAGATTGAGAGGAAGAAACAACTTGAAGGAGTGTGAAGTTTGGGAGTTTCAAATTAAGGAAATTCACTTACTGTGGGACCTAAGAGAACAGAGAGGGGAGTATTTCCAAATGAAAGTCAGCATGGGACAGGGTTACATGTATGACAAGGACTATAAATGAAAACGATTTAAAGAAAAGTATGAGTTACTCGAACGAGGGTAGATAGTGGAGATGCAGGTGGATAGGGCAAGTGATGAAAAATATAGTCAAGTTTAGAAAGTAATGTAAGGTTGACTGTCTGGAAGCCACGTTGTATTAGTGGCACTACATATTTCATTGTGGATGGTCATAAAGTGTTTGCAAGTGAGCAAAATGCTGAAGAGAAAATGTGCAGAGGAGGTAATCTAACTGCACTGTAGTACAAAAAGTGAGCAGGATAAGGAGGAAAGAGATGAACACTAAGATGGGAACATAGGAATTAGGAGCAAGAGTAGGCAATACAGCCCTTTGAGCCCACTCTACCATTTAACATGATCATAGATGATCTTATCCTGGTCTCACTCCACTTTCCTGTCTGCTCCCCATAGCCCTTTATCCCACTTTTCATCAGAAACATACCTATTTCTTTCTTAAGTCTATTGATTGATCCTGCCTCCACTGCACTCAAGGGCAGTGAGTTCCGTAGATTCACAACCTTCTGAAAAAAGTAGTTTCTCCTCATCTGAAATTTGAACCTACTTCCTCTCACTCTATAATCTATGACCTCTTCTTTGAGATTATCCCACAAGGGGGAATATCTGTTAAAACCCACCTTATCAATCGCCTTTAGGATTTTATACACCTTAATCAGATCCACTCCTCCCCCCAATTCTTCTGAACTCCAGCGAGTACAAGCCCAAGCTATTCAACTGCTCCTCGTACGTCAGCTCTATGACAGCCCTTTCATCCCTGGAATCAACCTGGTGAACCTTCTCTAAACTGCCTCCAGTGCTACCACATCCTTCCTCAAGTAAGGAGACCAAAGCTGGACACAATATTCCAGGTGTGGTCTCACCACAGTCTGAGTTTGACAACTGGGAGGACTATGGGTTGGGACAATTAGGACTGCTGTTCCAAAAAGAGTTAGCATGCTCTTGTGTCACAGTGTCCCTATCTCTGAACCAGGAGATTTGGGTTCAAGTCACTCCAGAGATGCATTACAACATCTCCAAGCAGGTTGATTAAGAAAACATCTGAAAGAGGCAGAGGCAGAGGCCACAGTTGCACAGGGTAGAGAACACTAAGGAGGATAACTGAGTCATGACCTTCATCAGGATTCTATTGTTGAGATGATGTCAAGAAAGGAAAGAAGATGAGGTTTTATGCTTTTCTCACTTGCACTGACTGCTAACCCCATCACCCAGGGCAGAAGTATCCAGAGCAAGGTCCACTTGTAGCATCAATGTATTTGTGGTGGTATTGAATTCCCAAATCACATTGAATTGACTAAGAATGAGAAAACCAGTCTGAGAGACCGAATATTTGTTGGTTTGCAAATGTTAACAAAGGGGAAAAACCAGTTAGAAAACTGTAATATTTGGAAATGAATGTACAGGTCTTACAGGTTCTCCATTTTAAAGTACACAGGATGGGTTAGACCAGGATGTCTCTTTTGCCTTTATGACTGGTTTTTCTTTCTGGTACATGCTGACTCTGATTGCCGTGGTGAAATGCTGATAAGCTAAAATTCAATTCCAGCCATGTAATATTTCCTAAATATTGTCCTACGCAGACTTTGGGTGCTGTTTGGTTTGCGTGCTAATTTGAATGAAGCAATGTGATATTTTGATGCTTTGTCAATTTGATTCCTCAATGCTGAAATTTCCCTAACTTGAGTGACTATCCTGCGGTTGCTAACTGAATCGCTATTTCCAACCTTTATCTCTTTCGTCCTCTCTCCTAACGTAAAACAGGAGAGAAAATCCGAAAGAACCGTAAATACTAGAAATCAGAAACAAAAACAGAAGTTGCTGAAAAAGCTCAGCATTTGTGGAGAGAAATCGCAGTTAAGGTTTTGGGCTCAGTGAGCCTTCTACAGAAGAAAATGAAATAGGAGTTGAAAGCTGTTCCATGTGCCTGGGATTTAAATTTAAAACTCACCATCACGAGACGCAGCTAACGGATCCGCCTTATGAATGAAACGGCTGGGACGTTTACGCCATTAGATCGACCGCTGAACCAGCAAATAGGAAGCTAAGTTGGGGTCAGAAGGTGGGCTCAGGAGTCGGCAATTTCGGCCAATAGGAGCCAAGCGGGGCGGGGGTGCCCGATTCTTCTGAAAGAGGGTTTGAGGTGAAGGGCCTGACTGTAGGTGAGTTCTGTAAAAGCGTGTGGGTTGTAGATGCTTTAGTAGTGGTTGCTTGAATGGCAGTAATTGTACTTATCTGTTAAATGTGCTGTAAGAACGAGCTGCTCGAATTGTCAGCACGTTGTGCGGTTGCGGGAATATTGGGTCTGGGCCTACAGCAGTGAGCGTCAAACACATTGTTCTTTTTTTTTGGCTGTGTTTGTTTTAAAGGATCGAGCACTTTCTCCTCCGTAGTTCAAAATGTGACTTTCTAAATAAGTATTCTCTGCCGTTCGATTTGAGCGGGAAAACCCATTTTTAAAAATATATTTAAAAATATAATGATGTATGGACATCTTTTCGAGCTGAAGTGTAAATGAGTACAATGCAGACCAGAACTCGCGCACTCTCTGTCACTAGGCGAAATCAGGTTCTCTTACTTCGGAAAAGAAACCCCTGAAAAACTGTGGATGCTGCTAATCAGAAAGAAACACGGGAATTGCTGGAAAAACTTAGCAAGTCTGAAGAGTCGTCACTGGGCCCGAAACGTTAACTTTGTTTTCTCTCCACAGATACTACTAGACCCCCTGAGTTGTTTTTCAACCGTTTCTGTTTTTGTTTCTCTTGCTTCCACGTGTACTTTGGTACTTGGCTGAAATTCAATCCTTTTGTTTTGAAAAGAAAGTAAATGACTTTAACCGTTCATTTGGATTGGTTTCCCTCCATGTTAACATCGGAAACTTTAAAAAAAGGCACGTGCAGTAAAATATAAGTTGCCACGAAGTTGTGACAAAAGGTGAAGGTGTATGGAGTTAGGGGACGAGTTGCAGAATGAGTTACATGACCAGAAAATGTCAGTGCTAATGTGGGGATTTTTGTACAAGCGAGAAGTGTTTTCTAGTGGTGGTTTTAGCTGGGCATTGTATTTTACCATATCTAAATGCTTTGGATTTACATTAGAATATTACATATTAGCAAAGATTGGGAATGTGGAATTCTGCACCAAAATACAAAAAGAAGTAGGATGATAGGTAAGTGAAATTCGATATAGCAAACTGATTTGTTCTAGCAGAAGTGTATGCAAGGTGCTTACTATTTGGAAGATAAGTAACTTAATAATGTAGAAGGGCATTGAAATCCAGGATTACAAGTGTATTACTGAAAGTAGTACAAGTTGGTTAGGTAAACCAGGTTCTGGTATTTATTTCTGCAGAAATAGTCACAAAAGGAAGTAATTTGAAATGTTTGTTGAATATTGCTTCAAATGTGTAGTCCCTATTACAACGGGAAGCTGCAGGTCTGAGAAAACGTAAATAATATTCTCAATGTTACTGAAATTGAGAGGATTCAACTGCAAGGAATGATTAAATGGACTGGTTTTTTTTTCTATTCTGATAGAGACCTTTAAAATTATGAAGGGGTTTAATAGGATGTTAAAACTAAAGCTATCCACTTTGTCAATTCCAACATGCTGCTGTTTTTCCAACAATCACCACAATTTTCTGTTTTGGTGTTTTTTTTTAAATCTCAAACAATCCTGAGTACACATTTTAAACCTCTCAGTAAGACTAGATTTTTCCAGGTTTTCTGATATCTCTCTCCTTTCGTCAACTAACCCAAGTCGTCATCTGTTTCTTAAGAACATAAGAGCTAGGAGCAGGAGTAGGCCATCCGGCCCTTCGAGCCTGCTCCACCATTCAATAAGATCATGGCTGATCTTTTCGTGGACTCAGATCCACTTACCCGCGTTCTCACTGTATCCCTTAATTCCTTTATTGTTCAAAAAAATATCTACCTTATCTTTAAAAACATTTACTGAAGTAGCGTCAACTATTCCACTGGGCAAGGAATTCCATAGATTAACAACCCTCTGGGTGAAGAAGTTCCTTCTCAATTCAGTCCTAAATCTGTTCCCTCTAATCTTGAGGCTATGCCCTCTTGTCCTCATGCTTTTTATCTGCTGAACAACTGATGCTAGATTGGTTATGTTTACAGAAGGCTGTTCTAAATTGCTAATGTTTGTAGGTAGAAACATCTTTCACTGTTAAAAGGTCCGTCTCTGTAGAAATAAACTATTTGTTCACTCTTAACACCTGAAAATGTCTATAATTCAAACTTCTAAATTCCCAGTAATGAAAACTATTCCGTTGAGTCCTTCCTTGTAATTTAACCCTAGCAAACGTAGTCTCCTTCTGAAAAACCTACGTTGTATTCTCTCTCCACTACAGTAATATGTCCATTCTAAGTGGGTGGAAGACGTGTTCCTATCATTCCCTTTCTCAGTTGGGGGCTGTAAACTGGTTTTTGCAATGTGCCCTTGCCCACCATACTTCCTGCCCATGGTGTGGCTCCCCCCTTCATCCTTGTCTCGTTTCTTGCCTTTCTGTCCCATTGATCAAGGACCATTTTCTGACATCAGTGACGGTTTTCTAATGTTGCTTAGGACTGTCTGTGTCAGAAGCCAGACAACAATTTGGAGACTGGGTCTTGGTGAAACTTAGGGATCATTAGAGCCTGAATGAAAAGTTTTGCATACACTTCTGCTAAAACAAATCAGTTTGCTATATCGAATTTCACTTGCCTACCATCCTATTTCTTTTTGTATTTTGGTGCAGAATTCCACATTCCCAATCTTTGCTAATATGTAATATTCTAATGTAAATCCAAAGCACTTAAGATATGATAAAATACTATTCCCAGCTAAAATCAGCAGGTGGAATAAGGAAGTCACAGAAGTCGCAAGGCTGAAAGATGTTTGTTTCCAACTTTGGACGTTCAACGGCTTCCCCTCCACTCTGAGGCCCCTCACATTTCTGCATCATATTTTCAAATTGACTTTCATGCATCCCTTCCACTTTAATTTGTCCCCTGGGACTTGTTGGTTTCAGCAGGGTTCGCTGTTTCTGGTGGGACATTTGGTTGGACATGTCATTGTCCTCATTCCACCTCCTGACAGACATGGCTTATCAGGTGGGGCTTTAAACTAAATACAAAGGATAGATTCGATTGCATGGAAAATTAGAAAATCAAAAGTGTAGGAGTGCAGGTTAGTGATGGGCTCAGTGTTACCAGAAAATAAAAGGACAGACTGTGTGAATGACATATTGCACCAACAAATAAAAATGTAAGAAAATTTGATAAGATACAAAATCGTTAAGTTTGATCTATTAACACATGAAGCATTTGGAATCAGGTAGACAAACCGGCAGTGCACATTGAGTTAAATGGATGTGATCTCATTGCCACTCCACAAAAGAGGTTGCAAGGAGATCAAAACTGGGGGCTTAACATTCAGGTATATTTAACCTTTCAGAAAGACTGTAGGGAAGGAAAAGGTGGTGAGATAGCACTATCAATAAGAGATGGAGGTCAGTTGTGAGAGACGATCTAGGCTTGGGTAATGTAAAGTTCCACTTCTGTGGAGTTTAAAAAAAACACAAATGAAAGAAGACATTAATAGGAGTAGTGTATAAACTCCCAAACTTTAGCCACACTCTCTGAGAAAGTATAAATTAACAAATAATAGGAGTTTATAAAAGAATAGAGCAATAATTATGGTTGACTTTAATCATCATGTTGATTTGGGTTAATCAAGTTGGAAAGGGTTGCTACAACAACAAATTCGTAGAATGGATTAGGGGTAGTTTCCTAGAGTAATATGTCATGGAGCCAGCAAGGAATAGGATATCTTGGAACTGACAATGAGGCAGTTTCAATATATGACCTTGGAGTAAAAGATCCTTCCTAAAGTCAAGATCATAACATGACAGAATTTAATATTCAGTTCAAGAGTGAGAAACTTGGGTTGGAAACAATTGTGTTTTTAACTTAAAGGAATTACAATGAAGTGAAATGAAGATAAAGTTAGCTAAATTGGGCTGGGTGGATAGATTAGCAGGAAAGACAGTAAGCAAGCAGTGGCAGACATTTTAAGGAGGTAATTCATGGCTCAGCAAAAATATTTCCCAATAAGAAGGAAAATTCTAAGAAAGGTAGCCAAGAAAGTTAAGGAGGGTCTAAAGTTGAAGAAAGCATAAGGAGGTGAAAGTCAGTGATAGCTCTGCAGACTGGGATAAGTTCGGAATCCAGCAAAGGAGGATCCAAAAAAAAAGAGAAAATAAACTACGAGGGCAAACTAGCAAGCAATATTAAAAACTGAGATTCTTTAAATGTATAAAAAGGGTGAGAGAGGTCAAGATGAACATAGGCCCGTTTAGAAAATGAATCGGGGGAGATAGTTATGGGAAACAAGGAATTGCAGAGGAGTTAAACAGATATTTTGCATCAGTCCTTATGGTGGAAGATACTTCAAACATCTCATTCATATTAAAGAATACAGGAGAAGAATTAAGTACCTGTCACTGAAGTAGTAATATTAGACAAACAAATGGGGAGAAGGGCAGATATACCCCCTGGCCCTGGTGACTTGCATCTGAGGATTCCAAAAGAGAGAGTGGAGGCATTGGTTGTAATTTTCCAAAAATCCTTGAATTCTGGAGAAGTATCAGATTGGAAAACTGGTAATATGACACCCCTATTCAAAAAGGGAGAGGGGAAAAAAGCAAGCGAGCAACCACAGGTCAATTAGCTTAACATCTATTGTTGCAAGAAATACTGGAATCATTTAATAAGGAAATATAACACTTCTTGGAAAATCATTATCCAATCAAACAGATTTGGCACAGCTTCATGAAAGGGAAATCATGTCTGACTAATTTATTCAAGGTTTTTTGAAGAAGTCTCAACCAGAGTGGATAGAGGGCAACTTGTAGGTGTGTTTGTAGGCATTTGATGAAGTACCTCAAAAAGCGGAGGTGCAATAGGAGCCCATGGTGTTAGAGGTAGTACATTGACACATGCCAATGTGGCAACAAAAATAAATGGAAAGACAAGTTGCAACAGGGGTACAAACAATTTACAGAGAGCTATTGATAAGTGAAGTTGTTCATTTTGGGAAGGATAAGAAAAACACAATATTACTTAAATGAAGAAAAACTGGCTTTAGGAAATTGAAGTTAAGGGCA